AACACGATATGCAGAGTTTAGTATTAGTTTCTCTGAATCTCTGTAACAGAGTGAGTTAGTCTGACCCACAGAGACACATGATGAAGTAAACTCTCTGCTGCTGAAACAGAACAGATCAGACTCTAACAGAGGTTCTGACCCGTCCAGAGACTCCGGCTATGTTGGTGCTGCTCAGCTGTCTGCTCTGCAGCCTGATGGATCCGTATGCAGCCGTCAGCAGACTGTTGGCCGAGCAGCCGGAGACCTTCCAGCCGAGCCTCCAGCCTGATCCTCCTCCAGACACGATCCACTGGTACCGAGGTCCAAACAGGTTCAGTCTGTAGGCCTGGACAGAACACACTGACAATCAGAACCTGCTCTTTAGTTCTGACAACACTTCATAGGACAGAAGCATGAGGGCATGAGGTCGATGTGTGTCTGTTAGTATTTGTTTTATGTCTCTTTGTGATCATTTTGAGTCTCTTTCTGGTTGTTTTTTTGTTTCTTTGTAGTTGTTCTGTCTCTTTATGGTCCTTTTGTGTCTCTTTGTGGTCATTTTGTGTATCTTTGTGGTAACTGTGTGTCTCTTTGTGTTTGTTAATGCCTCTTGGTGGTCACTTTTAGTCTCTTTCTGGTTGTTTTTGTTCTCTTTTTTGGTTATTTTGAGTCCCTTTCTGGTTATTCTGTGACTGTTTGAGGTCCCTATGTGTCTCTGTGGTACTTTTTTGTGTCTTTATGGGTGTTCTGTGACTTTTTGTGTCTATTTTGTGTCTCTTTGTGGTTGTTTTACAAGTCTCTGTGGTGACTGTACATCTCTTTGTGGTCATTTTGTGTCTCTGTGATCGTTTTATGTCTGTTCAAGGTCTTTTTTTTGTTTGTCATCCTAATTGCATCTCTTTGTGGTTGTTTTGTGTCTCTTTGTGTCTGTTTTGTGTCTTTTTGGGGGTGTTTGTGTTGTTTTACTACTTACACAGCAGAAAACCTCAGACGCTGAATCATCCTCAAAGTGTGTGATGATGATGCGAACGTCTCGATCCTGCAACATCAGAAGAAAACAGTGATTTTACTGTAAATAAGTCCCTTTGGTTGACTGTAAACTCAGAGATGTTCTGTGTTCTGACGTGTGGTTCCTTAAGAACCTTCAGCTTCTTCAGGCTGCTGCAGACATCTGAAGAGAAACTTTCTGAGGCCACAAGTTGCACGTCGGCCTTCAGCAGCTGTCTGATCAGATCCTTCTTCATCTGCAGACACAAAGACATCACACCTGAAGCCACGAAACAACAACTGCTGTCTGAGAGGAGGGCTGAACAAATCGGGACGTTTACAACAAACTGCAGAAAACTATTTTGTATGAGAGTACCGGCAGATTTCTGAACCATTATATGAAGTTCAGATTTTCAGTATTTTAGGTTTGCAGTCACCTCGGAGAGTCGGGGTCCCTCCTGCGTGACGACACCGACTCTGGCCCACCTGAAGCGCTGCAGCAGCTTCACAGCGGCCTGATTCAGAGCTCGGTCCGACGGCATGGTGCTGAACAGGTTCCCGAACCACTTCCTGTTGGACAGACTGGGGGACGAGGCGGCGAAAGACACCTGGGACAGCAGAAGACACTGTGATTACCTGCCCCAGCTCCATCACAGCACAGCAACCAGGTGATCTGTACCTGCACCAGGTGAAGAGCCGGTAAGGAGCGAGCGATGAGCGCTGTCACAGGTGGACACACCCCACCAATCAGCAACAGGTACTTTGGCCCCGCCCACATGGCGTCAAACAAGGCTTTGAGTGCTTTGGCAGGATCACACTGAAGAAAAACAGAAGAGAGCAGCAGCAGAGTGAAAGTTTCTGTTCCTGCTGCTTTATTCTGCTGATCCACTGACAGCTTCAGTTACTAATGAAGAGTTTCATGCACTAAAACATACAAAGATCACACAAAAAACTGCAAAATATAATGTTTTACTCTATATTAATAAATAGAATGACATTTCATTCCTCCTTCTATACTGTGAGGATTTACTTCTTTGCTTTTAAATTACTTTAAACATTTCCATTTGTGTTGAATCATTTTGAAGGTCTGGCTGCTGGTGACAAACAACACAGTTCATATCCACAGTAAAAAAAAAAAACATTAGTTGCAGCTCTGTTAATTCACAAAGTAGTTAACCGTCTCCTGCAGCGCCCCCTGCTGTGTGGAGGCACTGCAGAGATTAAATACATTGTTCAAAAATTCACAGGTAAAAACATTATACTGTTTTGTTTTTTGTTTCTTTTTTACAGTTGAGTTTGTTTCCACTGGAAACACTTCAATCCAAACTAAGGTCTGTATCAAAAAAAAATGCAGCTTCCACAATTATAAGCAGATTATGAACTGCAGATATGAGAAATTAGACATTTAAATTAGCTGCTGCTTTTTTATAATTACTGAAAACATCTTTCAAAAATAACAAGGAATACGGCTAAAACATTACATCACAGCAGTTTCATGTGACTTCACTTTCACATTTACATGATTATCAATGACTTGTGTCCTATATTTTGCTGATTTTTTAGTTTTTTAAAAGAAAAAAGTCTTTTGCTTCTTTCATGTTTTCATTAAGAAAACAAAAGCACATGTTGTAAATACTGAAGGGATGTTGCTCCTGTGTCCTCCCTGAAACCTGCAGAAGTTCCCTGATGCAGGTGAACAGACTCAGCAGCAGCTACCTGTGCAGTTACCTGTGCACAGGTGAGACACCCACCTGAGAGTCCAGCAGCTGCAGCTGGACCTCGTAGTCTCCCAGCGGCGGCGGTTGTTTCTTCAGATCCTGCAGAGCCAGTTGGACAGCCGGGACCACACCGGCCGTCAGATTCTGCCTGCCCGACCCGGAGCTCAGTGGCATCATCCACAGCACCGGCAGAGGGTGTCGGACCTGAGCCAGAACTGAACCCAAACTCAGCCAGCAGAACCCCAGCAGCAACAGCAGCCGTCCACAGAGACCCATCCCTGCTTCTCCTGCTCTGCTCCTGCAGAGAAACTCAGTAATCCTGCGGAGCCGTAAGCGGCTGAACGCAGACTGAGGAGATAAAAGGATCAACATGAACACACCATGCCACCTGGACTCTGACAGACTGACCAACATTTGTACACAACAAAGGCTTCACCGGAACACAACTCTGCACCGCCTACATGGTCAAAAAATAATGTTATTAACTCACATTTTCTAAATAATTTACTGTTATTTTACAGATTGTCCCTGTTCTCTTAAATGACAGATATCTAGTAAAATCACAGGAAAAAAACAAACATTTAATTTACATGTTAATTCTAAAAATAAAAAAAAAAAAGCCAAACTCAAAATAAGGTCTATTAATGCTGCCAGATTCTCATAGTTTCAGGTTTATTTTACAGTGTAAAAACATGTTTATTTAAACAGTGTTTGACTGTATAAACAACTTCATGTTATTTTACAGATTTTCACTGTTTTATTCATTTTAGATCATATCTAGTAAAGTCACAGAAAACAATTACGCTGTTTTGCTGTATTTAAGCACTAATTTTTACAGTGTAAAAAAAAAAAAAAAGAATGTTTTGCAGCCACTTCAGCTCACCTGGCTGAGCTGGCGAATCATGTACAGGGGTTATAGTCTCCGATGCAGTGGCCATGGGTTCGAATCCTGCTCATGGTCCTTTGCTGCAGGTCCTTCCCCCATTCTCCTCCCCCACTTTCCTGTCTCTCCTTTGACTGTCCTATCTAATAAAGGCAAAAAGGCCAAAAATAAATAGTTAACAAAAAAAAGAGGCTATTTTTAATGTTTTTTGTTTTGTTAAATTACTGATATCTGGTAAAAATCACAGAAAAAAGATTCAAATTTTATGTTTACAGGCCAAAACTATCAATAATATCCACATCAAAATGACATTATTACTGTATTATTGCAAATATTGAAGAGAAAAAATATGTATATTAAGGAATGAGAATGGTAAACAATTTTTAACAGTTATTGTAAAGATTTTCTACATTTTGTTAAATTACATCTTACAAAATATAATAAATCTGATAAAAATCAAACATAAACATAGCTGACTTAATGATTGTTCTTTTACAGTGTTTGACCATAAAATTTACACCCTTTTGACTGTATTTAAAAATTAATTTAACCCTGAGTTTGCAGAGAGGGAAACAAGAACACAGTTTAAGCGTGAAACTAACATTTCTTTAATTTACTCATTTGAAAAACACATTTTCAGAACCCAGCTTTCAGACCAGAAAACCTGCTTGTACTGTAGACAGAAAACACCTGATGTCAGGCTTCACTTCATAGCAGGTTTACGTGTCAAAAGTCCTGCTAACTTAATGCAGTTCAAACAGAAAACGTTTGCTGTGATGGATCTATGAATCTCTTATAGAAGTATAAATCTTCATAAATCCTCTCATTGTCTCTGAGTCTCTGTATGTTAATACTCTTTAAAAATGAGTTGTCGTGACTTCCACAGTCGCTAGAGAGGCCGAGGATGGGTTCTGTCTAATTGTATGACGCACTGTTGCTTCCTAAATAATGCACAAAAGTCCGATACGGTTTTCACCTTTTATTAACGTAGATGATGATTCGCAGGCATTGCACAGTACGTTAAACTTGTCAAAATTTAAAGACACTTTAGCGTAAATAAATCAATCGTGGCAGTCAACAAAAATTACGGCTACCCAGCCCTCCTCTCTCTGGCAAAACGACCGCATGACTGACTGTCAGCCCTTTTGACAGCTCAACCTGTCACCAACTACACCCATGTGACCCATGCTCCACATCACCATGACAACCAAATAAACAAACTATTAACCCAGTGATAAATACTCAAATCAACAATATTTGTGGCTCCTGCATGAGTCAGTTCTGTCCTTTCTCTCGTCCACTCTGCCATTGTCTCTCTTTCCACGGTGCTCCGGTCTCTGTCCAGTCAACCCTCCGTCCTCCTCCCTGTTGGCACCTGGAGCCCACAGGGTGCTGTAGCGCCCCGACTGGTATCCTCTGGAGAGCAGGACCCAGACGGTGGGCAGGTTCCTGCTGATGTCGCCCACAGCTCATCCATGGCGCCGTACAGCAGCCTGGTGACCTGCTGGAGCCCCTTCAGGCACGGCTTCAGCAGGTGACGGTCCTGGCTGGAGACACCCTTACCCATGCAGGGTTTTCAGAGCCACCTTCCTCCTCCTCCTCCTCCTCAGCCACTCACCATTTGGCCTCCATACGGCTCAGAGTGAAGCGCAGCGGGTTGTGGAACTTGCGGCTGTCTTTGATGCAGATCTCCTGCAGGGAGGCAAACAGCAGAAGCTCTGAGCTTCACTGTAGTTCTCCATCTGGAGACAGAAGATGGACAGATGTTACTGATGTGCAGCAGAAATATTATGAATCACTTTACTGATATTTGCTGATTTTACTGCAGTTACAATGATTTAAACTGCAATTTTTTTTTTCATTAGCGCTGCAGTGATCAGTCAGCTGATTCACAGAAAACTGGCAGATATTCTGAGAGCTGATTTATCATTTACACCATTTTTTAAAAAGCAAAAATGCCAAAAACTTTTGTTTGTCACATTATAATACACTGAATTTCTGCTGAGTTTGGACAGTTTTTTTTAGACAAAACAAGACATCTGAAGACATCCCACTGAGATTTGAGAAATTAAAACAGTCACTTTTACCATTTTCTGACCGTTTTCACACAAAATTAAATTTTGAGAAAATGATCAAAGTTAAATAATATTGCCGGTATAAAACTTCAAAAAATTCAATAAATAACGTCCAAATGTGATTCAGGTTTAGTTTTGTTCCATATTTTTGTTCCTTTGAAAAAAGAGAAACCTGCATTGATCACAAAGTGGCACCAAATCAGAGGATGAAATGAAATCAAACTGTGTGTAGATCCTGAATAAGGGCATGAGATGGGACTGTCCTTTATAAACAGAGAGTAAATTAACTGGACAGAAACAAATAAAACAACCAACAGTCAGGGGCAGAAGTGATTAGTTAATTAATACAATGACAGAATCAAAAACACCATAATGTATCTGTACTTTTTCAGTTTTCCATGACAGTCAACTCAAAATCTTTGGGTTTTTGACTCTTGGTCAGAAACCAAAAGCAATCTCAATACTTTAAGTTAGACTTCAAGTGAAAATAATGTACATTTTTCATTATGTTCATTCATATAATTGACTAAACGAATATCTATTAAGGAATTAACCACGTAAGTAAAGAATAGAATTACTAGCTGCAGCCTCACTGTACTCATATAAAGGCAGTGTTCTGTGTTCATCACCTGACATTCAACAAATGGAAGCAACCAT